CAAAGTGGTTTTGTGAGCACAGCTTCCCTACAGACAAAGACAACAGCAGCCATTGAGTTGCTGAATGTCACAAAGGCAGTGCCAGAGAGCTTGATCATGGCCTTTGTCCAGCCCTTTAGTTCTCTTTCTACACAGGCCAACATCTATGCACTACACAACAAAGAGTTATTAATACAACCTCCACAATCAGCCAGTGTAAGAACCCACACAGAGATCCTGGGGCTCCATTCAAAAGTTCCTTAGGAGTGCATGGTATGAATAACTGCAAATTCTCGCCACTGATCTGAAACTGCAACCCACGGAGCAGCCCTTCACTGTCAAGTGACCTCAAAGGATCAGAGAGCAGAAGGAACCCATTCTGTGCAAGTAGGTTCGACAAGCAAACACACTTGACAATTCAAGTATCCTTGTCTGACTTCCAGTCCCCAAGTCTGTGATTCTGAGTTGGTCTCCTGGAAGCTGATGGTATGTCAGAGAACCAGCACAACACACCCTCTGCTGCTTCAGAGCCACCATGGGCACTTCTCCTGAGCTCTTACATAGGCAAGATAAACACGACACCCTGAAAGCCCGGCTGTCCTGGGAACCTCCTCTCGTTTTATCATACCAGCTGTATCCATCCATGCTTTCCCCTTGTCTCACTGCACATTCCAGAATTCAGCCCAAGCTGCCTCACTCAGTAACTCAAACGGGGGGATTAGACAATGAAGCACAAGTGTACTGTGTTGGATATCGCTGGCTCATCCTGTTCTGACAGGGAACACTTTATGCACTGAAGAACTGCTCTGTATCCAGAGACTGCCTCAGCCTCCTGAGGGAGAGGGAGGAGGAACTAAAAAGCAGAAAGTAGGCAAGTATTCTCCAGTTTTCCCTCTTACTCCAGCTATCTACCAGATTATTACTTCATGAAAACAAAGTTGTCCTCCTCCATCCAGCATGTGGTCTCCCTGCTTTACCCTTACTCTGGACACAGAGGGAATATTTATGTGATCTACTTTGAGCATCTGATTGAGGCGTGATTCTCTTATGGCTTGAATGCCCTATGTCTTATGTAGCAGATGAAGATGTCTCCCCAGGAGAGAATGCCAAATGGTCTTGAAAGGACTATTTCCTTAATATGTCTTTATGTATTCTAGATTTATTTCTATGTGTTAGATCTGAATATCTTTTAATATTATATATTTTACTATATATATATATTCTAAAATTTAGAAATCCCTCTTAGCTGTTGGAAACAACACAGAGTAACCCTAGCAGAGTTTTGGCATCTGCACTGTCAGAATGTAAGTAATTACAAAGCAGTGGGAATGCAATTTATTCCCAAGTAACCAGTGCTGCATACTACAGCTGTACTTGAGAGTTTCCAGCTACTCAATATTTACAAGCTTGAATTCTAAAACTGGCCAGAAATTCATTCACAAGCTCAGACTTTCCCCAGTTTAAGCAAGGGGGTGAAGTGTTTTTCCCTGCACTGTGAGGGCCTGCATCCAGCTGGCCAGATGCTGTTTGGGTGTTCTGAACATGGATACATGGTCATGGATACATTTTTATCCTTCAAACTTTAAACAGAAAAACTTTAGTTCTTGTTTAGAAACAGAGGCAGATTTTCATTGCACTCAGAGCTCCAACAGCATCTGCCTACAATGATACCAACAGCAATTAGATGTTGTACTTCTGACTCAAACACATGCTCTGTCTGGAATGCCTCCTATTTAAAGCCCAGCACACGCAGATTCTATATCATTGATGTCCTGTAACGCAACAAACATCCAATAGATCCTCTCGGGCATAGCTGCACCAGTGAAATCTAAATGCTCAGCCTACCCCATGTAAATCTCATTTCTAGAATGGTGGGAACTGTCAGGCATCAGAACCTGAGAACATGCACGTCATTTCTCATCTTTACATTTCCACAGAGAGAAATTAAGCATTAAGCCCAGACGCAAGCTGTGACTACAGTAAGAAATTAAAAGCTCTTATTTGCCTTTGCAAACAGAAGTTTGGAGGTTCTTCAGAAGAATAATGTCATTCTACTAAAAGTAAAGTGCAAAATGAAGTGGCTGCTGATTCAGAAGCGCTAAAAACTGATGCAGGGCTCAGCATTGTTACAAAAATTCTTAGGCTAAATGTATTTTATCTGAAAGTGGTTAACACTTGGCTCTAAGTGCAGCAATAGAAGAATCTGAAGACTACTGAACAATGATTCTGTCCATCATTGCTGCTGCAGTATGTAAGAAATACCTGTCTGAGACAAAATACATAGGTAGAAAACTAAAATTAGAAAGCTGAACTCGAGGCAATCAAGGTGACCAAACCCAAGAGATGTCCTCTCATGGCTGCAGACAAAAGGCAGAGAATGAAAGAGATGGAGAAGGAAAGAGTAAAAACTATATTAAAGGATGAGCAAAGCAGAGTAACTAGAAATAAAGATCTCAGCCTAACTAGCTTCTCTCTGCAGTTCAGCTGACTGAAAGAGGGAGAAGAGAGATGTGATGCCAGGGCTGAGGTGAAAAATATCTCCTAATAAAATAATCCCCAAATACACTTACAATCAAACAAGAAGGAAATGTTACGTATTTGCTTTTCTGTAAAACAAAATTCACTCTTTCCCAACCCTCTTGGAAATTAACAGTACCACTGGTGAAAGGAACTTAAGAACACATGTGAAAAGATTTTAATTTGGTTACTGAATGCTTTTATTGGTTATTAGGGAGACAGTAAAAGCATCCATTATGTCTAATGAGGAATGAAAGCAGATGCTGGAAATAAAGATCATTCATGGTCTAAAGGTTACCTTTTCCCCTAGGAAAATATTCTGAAACAATGTCTGAAGACTCTCAGCTTGCAAAATCAGCAGGGCTCTAGTAAGAGTCAATAAAAAAATTGCCATTTCCCCCCAGATGAAGAGCTGTTCTCTATTAGAATCAGGTGCTCCAACCACAGAGCAGCTGTTCTTCAGCAGTGCTCTCATATACCTATTAAAAAAGCCCACACTCTGATAGGAGCAACTGAGAGGATCCCAGTAGTTGCCGACTCCAACAGTCAGGGTAACTCACTTCATACCTCCAAACTGAGGGAAGAATTTTAAGAGAAGCAGTCCATCACCTCTGTTCATCCCTGCCTCGGGAATCATCACCTCCCACATCCACAGGTTAATCTGCATGGAGAGAACGAGGACTTCATTTGCTAGAAAGAATTATTAGCAATTTCTCATAGAGGAAACAGAATCTTTTACTTTTGTGACAATTTTTTACTTTAGTTGCACAATGTTTATTTTTACATAAATTTACTTATACACTTTTCTGGATTGGCAAAGTTCTACCAAATAACATTTTAGCAAATTATTAAAATCTTAAAAGCTTTCATAAATTTTTAAGCAAAACCTGTAATTTATTCCCATTTACTTACATTCTTGTCCATGTAAAACTATTTATAATTTGTATTTCTCTATATGTTCAGGATCCTCCCGACCACTGGAACTCCAAAAACCCACAGTAAAGCTTTGATTTTACCCTAAACTTTAACAACAAAGTAAACTTTTCTTTTTCCGTTTAGTCCAGTTTGGCTCCATCTCCTGCCCAAAGTTACAAACTACATCTTGTAACATTCAGATAAGTTTAAAACTATGAAACTCAAAGGTGTTAAACTTACAAAGTACTTAAAGAATGTTTGCTAGAGATGAAAACTATCCTAAGATATTAGAAGTGATCAGCGATTCAGCTGTTAAGAGTCACATGTTGATAATTAAGAAAAGGAACAGCTGAACACCTGTATTGGCAACACCAATGGTACTCCAGATACCTACAATTTCTGGGATGTCCTATGTTTCAAGGAAAAGGGTGTAGTTTCACTGAATTCTGCCTTAAAAAGTTTCAGGTGGAAAAAACAGGACACCTGTGAAGAAACTCCATGACACAGTAACTTTCAACAAAGCTTATTTTTCAAACTTTAGGAAGAATTTAAAGCACTGACAGACAGAAATGGCAACTTGTAAACCACGATGCTGAATGGGACAGATATGAACCGTCCCAAACAGAACACAGAGAGAACATACACCTCAGAAATGTACCACTCCAATCACTGCATTCCACAACGGCTGTGTCACATCTTCAGATTTATGTAGCAATCTGAAGCAAATCATCGGGGGGCAGCAAGTAAAAAAAAGTTCTCTGCTACTCCTGTCCTCCACCATGGCCAAAAACAGGCTGGGAAAAGCCCTCCTTTAGGTTATACGTACTGGCATTTTTTTCAAGACCATTCTTTCATCTTTGTATAAGGACTTTCCTTAGGACAATCTGTAACAGACGAGGTTCTGCTTTTCCTACTTTCATGCAGTTCTCTCCCATGCAATTTGCTTTTCAATAGAGTGAGTTGGTATGGATTTTGCTACATAACCTACCTGGCTCCATCCCTGTCTGAAGCCCTCTTCAATTGTAAGCCCAACTCCCAACTTAGCAACCCAGGCTCACTGCGGAGCATTCACAGCGCCACACAGAGGCTGTGCTCCGACACCTGGAGGAGGTGCTGTGTTAGTTCAGCCCTTCCCATTCCAGTCCCACGCATGCCACTGGTAACAGTGAACCAGATGAGGGAACTGATGCCCTTAGGTTTTTTCACACTTGCCATATATGATTACACATCAGAAAGGCAGCACAGCATTAAAAATGAGCATGTGGGAAGCAGTATCCTCACAGGGAAACAAGGTGTCAGCTTAGAAAGTACCTCTGTAGCAGCGCTACTTTCAAAGGACAGAATAAAGTTTAGTAGTAATTTAAACAAAGAAAAAACCACCATCACCCTCCAAACTTACCTTGGAAAGGGATTCTGAAAATCTTGATAAATCTCCCAAGCTTTGTGCAAGTAGGTCTAAAGCTTGGTCTTTAGCAGAGGAGAAACTGAGAGATAGCTAAAGGTCTCTCTGTTCTTACTCTGTGTTGTATCAACACAGTACGCAGTGGTTTCCACCTGCTTGCTAGTTACCCTTTTCCTACTGTGCTCGGTAACCAACTTAATGCTACACCCAACCCAGAGGAGAATTCCTAATACAGCTGAGATTGCTCAAGTTATTCAGCCACATTTAGGCTCTATTATGCTGAGTACTGTATAAAAAAAATCCCAACACCACAAAAACAAACCCCCTTTTGCTCTGATCTACCTGCATTTTAGAGATTATATGTGAGAAAATTCATGATCAGTCTTAGATGGATTTAGTAAGACACTTCTTAATAGGCACAGTAATTAGCTCCATGGCCCGTGAACTGCTTCTCTCTTCCAAAATTCAAACTAACAACTGTCAAGCTGATACCCTAGCACTGGCAAGCCTGAGTTAACTGAGAACAGAGCCTGCTGCTTCCAGAGCAAGTTATGTATTTGGTGGTCATGGATTACAGACACTTCCAGTGCGCCCTTACACACACTGGACCAAACAACATGAAATCAGTAACCTGAGGTGTGAACCTTGGGCTGGGTTCTTTAGGTCCTTCTCTGGACTTTGAACTTGCTGGTTTCCCCTGTGAGTAATTCACTTTGGTCTGCAGCCACCTTGAATGCATATTCAGAACTCTGTATGAAGAGGACAGATTTCAAATTCTTCGGGGTTCTCAAATATAGTTTATTCACATGGTAAAAAGTTTGGGGGCATTGGGGTTGTTTCATGTTTTGTACTCTATCCTCTCTTCACTAAGAGAGGTCTACTATGCAGCTAGTGAGTCCCTAGAACTACAGAAAGCTTTGTTATGTCACAACATCCTCCTCCTTTTGGCTTAAGACTTACTGCAGGTAGTATTTCCCTGCATGTTTATCACTCCCTGGGGAAGTTGCTCCATACCAGCTTTAGTAGTTCTCTCACCCTGCCTCGTGATGCAAGGATATGCACTCCTGAGCCCAGGAGGCCTGCCATCAGTTCATGCTCTCCTTTCCTGCACTTCCCAAAGCTCTCAGTGGGGAGGGAACAAGAGTGCTTGTTTTTCATTGTACTATCTAAAGTTACATAAAGTACTGTTTAAGGTTATGATATTTTTATAAATGTACTATTGTTAACACCTACTGATTCTGTTTTTACAACTGCTTTGCTATCTAAGAAATATATGGCTTGTGGTAAATCTTTAAGTATTCCAGAACAGATCAAATTATTCAATAGCCCTTTGCCAAAAGTCTAGACAGCAGCAAAAGACTTCACTTTTTGCCTAGTGACTGTCACTTGGCCCAAGTTATGCTGGTCTCTCAGGCTGAAAAGGTGTGATGGAGCAGTTACACTGGCCACTGTGCCAGGAAAAAGAGGAGGCTGTGATTTATTCTGATACAGTTCTAGGGTCTTTTCAGACTTTTCTGATACTTACATTTTTTTCAGTTCAATAACCAGAACACTGTGAATTTGGACAAGGATAGATTTGGGGCGGTTTTCTGCTGGCACTGGCAAGGTGCAAAAAAAGGGGGGGAAAAGAACAAAGAGTGGCTTGGAAAAATTGCTCTGTCTTGTGTTTCTGAAATATTCCACTCAAATATGACCAAATAATGCTTACTCCGGCTCAGTGGATCCCTCTTAAGAAAGACAATATAAACCAGAATTTTACTGTATACAAGTTACAGCAATAAAACCAATCATTTTAATTGAAGCCATTAAAAAAAACATGTGAGGCAATATAAATGATAAAACTATGCTTAAGAAGAAATAGCTAGCACTTTCTGAAAAGCTTTAAAACAGCGACAGACACTTTACAAAAGATCTGAGGGAAGAGAATAAAATTTCTGAACTACAGGTACTGTATAAAGGTAACATTAACAATTATCTTATAAAATACAGCAACAGAGACAAAATGGATACTCAAGCTCATTTGAAACTAAGCCTTCTGGGGTCTTGGTTAAAATGTATGTTCAAAAACTATTTTAAACAAGGACTAAATAATTCATATTTTAAATGTACAGGTCCCTGGCATAAACAGCACTATACACATCTTCCAAACAAGCAATAAGTGCAAGTTCCTTTAACCATGTGTGGTGTCATCTTCTACAAAGTCTTTGGCCATTTCTGCTGTGATCACATCAATATGACTGACCTGGCGGAACAAAGAAATGTGCAGTTATTACAGTATCTATCTCCTGCAGAGTAATACAGACATTTCTGAAGGCTTCAGAACTCAGCAACACATCTATAATCGATTTCTAATTCCCTTCAAGGAACATGACAAAGGACACATCTAGATATTTAAATTCTTTTTCAGGAAGGAACTTTTTATAGAAGACTGCAACACAACTAGAAATCTATCACTGAAGTGAGCCTGCTTCAGTTTGAACTCTTTTTAAGTCAAGTCTCAAATTTAGCTATTTTAGTTATGGTGTTTACTGAGAACCTTATAATATTATTTACCTTGTTTCGGAATTTTACACCATAGAACTTGTCAGCTGACTCAAGTAGTTCAGGTCTAAAAGTTGTTGTAATAAACTGAGCATGTTCAGCTAGTTCCATAATCATATCTAAAAATGAACACAGAAATTCTTGATTAGTGTAATCTTTTCAAAAAAGTAGGACAGACAGATAAAGAGTTTGCTATTCTTTATTCAGAATGAGGTTTTGTTTAATTTAAAAAAAATAAACACCCACAAATCAAGAGAGAACCCATACCAGGTCTTAAGTACTATCATTAATTCCAGTATCCACTCTTGACAAATCCAGCCACTCTGTAAACATAAGTGTGGTATTAAACTTCTGTGATGAAAAACAGAGTAAGTACTTTTCCACTGACTTTTTTAAAATCAAACGAGACTTCCAAACAGGACTGTTTCCACCACACTGAAGTGTAGTAAGGAAACCCTTTAGACACAGTAGATAGCGCAGAGCTTCTTCCTAAAACCAAGTTCATGAAAGCTTCAGAAGGCACAAAGTTAAATTCTAACACATATTGGACTTTTCAAAAATGTGCTTTTATAATTAAAAGCTTTAATCAGGGATGAGAAGACAAACTGTTACCTTTATTCACAAAGAAGATAAGAAAGGTAGACATGTACCTGAGACAGCCTTTCTGTGCTGGGCATCCAAGGCTTGGTCGATCTCATCAAACAAGTAAAATGGAGCTGGATCACATTTCTGGATGGCAAATATGAGGGCCAGGGCCACTAGAGATTTCTGTCCACCTGAAAGTTGCTGCATTTCTCTCATTTCACCCTGCTTGCCTGTGAAGGATACCTAAGAAAACAATATAACAGCAAGATGATTTCAAAACACTAAACCACATCACTTGATATTAAACCAACAGGATCAACTGAATGTTGCCTTTAACTTAAAACTCGACTTAAACAAATATTTAGAGTACTTAAATACAAATATTTTTCTTTACCCTTATGCCAACTCCAGTGAACTGATCTACAGATGGAACACTGCTCTGAGATCCAGACCCTCTATCACTCTCGGTGCTGCCTTCACCTTCATCCTGGGACTGATTGCCCTCCACATCTCCTTTCTTCATTACTAATGTGGCCTTGCCACCAGGCACTAACTTCTGGAATACTTCACTGAAATTTTTTGACACCTGAAAAAGAAACAGTCAATAAACCACCTCGAATGCAGACAACAACTGCTTTTACATGATCACACAAAGTATCTGCTTCAAAGCAGAGTTAAACATTCATTCTTAAGCAGAACTGAGCAATGTTATGCTGTACAGAGGTTGGCTTAAAAACAGCTAAGACAAATATTCTTGAAGTATGAGAATTTTCAAAAATTTTTTTTAAAAAATGGTAGAATTATAACATAAAACTGTAGCAAAAGTATGATTTCTTTCAGTCACCTTCTATTAACCAAAAGACCTTTTAAGAGAAGCCTTCACACACTTTGTAGTTAAGATCCTTTGTTAACATTAGAATTACATTTACTAAATCTGGAGAATGGATTTGGTGCGTTTTTTTACCAGACATGTCCCAGAAAGGGTTGTAGGTAGTACAGAGAGACTCACTTGAAAGGAAATATTTAAGAGGTTTAAAGCAAAGCTAGAGTTGTAATATGGATGGGCACCTGTTTAAAAGGTTAGTTATTTTTCAGTATTTAAAAAATCCACAAGCCTCAAGTTACATGACATTGCCTTCTGTTATTACACACATACTTGGTATTTGCTTCTTCCCATAGAGCTGCTACATAATGGGACAATTTGATTGATTTCAACACCAGTGTCTTTACAATTGTTCCGATTTTGTTACCTGTTTGAAAGTCAGCTGAATAGCCTCATATTTCCTGAGCTCAAGGACATTCATCAGCTCCATGATGGATTTGTAGCCCCTGTCCAGTTCCTCTTGTCTTTTTATCAGTTTTTCCTTCTGCTCTGAGAAATTCACAAACTGATCTAAAGCTTTTTTGTTAACATGACTGTATTTCTTCAGTTCCGTATTGCACTGCTCCAGCTTGCGGAATAACTGTAAATGGAAAACATTAACACATCAAAGTGATGCAATTCCAGCCACATTTGACACTAAAGATGAAGGTGACACTGATATTTCAGGTCAGGAAACATGAAACCAAGCACACTATTTACCTGCTTTAAACTTAAAGTCTGATACTTTTCAAAAGCCTCCTGTGGAAGAGAACCCAACTCTCGGATTTTCTTCATGCATTCCTCTTTTTTCTTGAGGAGCATGCCTTGCCTGTTGGTCATTTTCTCAAGTTCTTTTGTATCATGGTTAATGGCATCCATATGCTCCTTTTCCATGTTCTTCCAGCGTTCCATGCTCTTCTGAAGTTCTTTAATTCCTGCTTCTGTTTTATCAATAGAGTTATCCAGATCTGTGATATTGGGTGAGAGTACAAAACCCAAAGGAGTAAGGTTTACATGCCTTCATAAGATCAGCAATCATCCAGAAAAGTATTTATGAAACAAAAAGATAAACATTTAAGGACCAGAAGGTTAAATTTCAGGCAAAAGGCTGAAAATCCCTCTCTTTTCTTCTCCATAAGCTTAAAAAACCCCCAAATGTACTACACTCATATTGTTAATGTCTAGAAAGAGAAACAAAGAAAGTTTTGAGCCACACAGATGCAACATTTTGTTTGACTGCAGCTGAGTTTTAGATAGGTTAGACAAAGTTCGGGAACAACTATAAAAGATTTTGCTTGTAGGAAGACATGTATTATGCCCTGAAGCCAGAAGCCTGTTATCACCAAGTTAATTACTTCTCACATTATGGTCTATTTCTAAACCAAAAGATGTTGTACGTGTGAACTTCCAAAACACTGCAGAGTTTTCTTTCAAAAAAATGATGCTACCAACCATCTGACCGTGCCAGCGTGTCCTTCACTCGTTTGTTGATGGCCTCAAGCTCCGATGTTGTGGCAGTAAGAACTGTGCCACCTTCTGTTTCTCGAAGCTCGTTCAGTTCCTATGGGATAAATAAATGCCACCAAACTTCAGCACAAAGTGGAGCAAAAGTATGAGCCAGACAAACAAGTTATCTTCTGCTACTCTACATATAACTGTGTTCAATATTTACTAAAGTTTTAGAGAATAGTTAGATTTTCAAACAAATCTATCATTAGGATGACACACACATAGACTGTGTATTCAAAGCACAGACAATGCAGGGTAACGAATGAGTATTTATCAAGTGACTAATACGTGTTAGCCCTGGAAATAAACCAAAACCAGACTGCAAAAGTACATTTAAAACAAAATTCTTACTTGTTCCACTTGGTCTAAGCGTTTTCTCAGATTCTCATTGAGATATGTTTCAACTCTTGTGATAATGCCTTCTAGTTTAATCCTCTCATTCAAAAGCTGTCTGTTTTCCTGAAAAAAGTAAAAGAGTATATTAGTTGCCTTGTTTTCTTTTCCCACACTGTGCATAATCCCTTCAGATGATGTCTAATTGTATTTATTGCTGTGAAGTTCAATAGCAGGAGCAAAGAAATTCCTATGATTTCCTCCCAAATAACCTTAATTTTCACATGATCAGCTGGCAAAAATCACCCAGCATTTGAAAAAAACATGCAAATACACTTGGCAAATGAGAGAACTTCAAACATGCCTACCTAGTACTGATGAAGCGCTACTTTAATGACACTGTATTCATAGGTGACTTTTCATATAACAGAACAAAAATAAGTTTATTGCAAAGAAAGGTACCACAGTTAATGGTAAGACATTTTTAATTTCCTTACTTGCTGTAGCTGTCGAATTTCATCATTAAGAGCATCCACACGTTTCTGATCTTCAAGACTGAGCTGAGACAACAAATCTGTCCCCAGTTCTGCTTTTAATGATTCTCTAGTTGACTCCATAGCATGCAAACTTGCCTCCAAGCTCTGCAAACTACGTTGCTGTGGGACAGATATTAGTCAGAATCATTTCTCAAAGCAATTTGTAGATCTATATGAATTTCACCTTTCTGTTTATACTGACATATTTTTGTGACACACCTCTAGTCATCTCTTAATATTTCATTAAGACGTTAACCAGAAAGGAATGCTACTTTATCAGTAATATTAATGAAACAATTAATATAAACACATTAACTGCTTTCAAAAACCCCATACCAACCTTAGGCATAAATGTCTTTTCAGACTGCTGCCTTTTCTCCTTCAGCATTTTCATCTCTGACAAAATACTGTCTCGAGAGGCTTTGAACTTCCTCTGCTGTGTTTCAATTTGCTGCATTTGGTTCATTAGCTGGTCAATCTCATTATTAATCCATGCTGTGAGCTAAGGAAAACTGTCCTTGTTTTAAAAGGCATTTTATACCTACTAGTACCTCTGTCATCAAAACAAGAAACAAACAAAAAGCCTCACCATACCATAATATTCAGTTGTACAGGAGAAATCAAGACTCATCAACAAAAGTAACTTGAGCAGCTTATCAAGTAACTTTTCAATACCAGGAACTAAGCTAAACGAAGCTTTTCTTGTTTATTTTACAACATGGCATTGAGAAGAACAGAGGGATACATTTGAACATGCAAGGAAAATTCAAATCTCACAAAATACAGAGGAGATGCCCACATTTACAAGGAAGTATTAGAACAATACCATTATCCCTCACTCAATTTTGAGGCAAAAGTGTAATTTGTTCAGGCCAATTCTGATACAATGGCTTAAGGCACAGTGCAGAGCTTGCTAAGACTGTGTTTTAATTTATGTTGTGTTGCTATCATGTTACTCCTACTGCAATGTATATTTAAACACATCACCTTAAATGCTTTAAAAATGAAATAATTTCCTAAGCAGAGGTTACAGTAAAACACACATACTTAAAGCATTTGGGGAAAACTAAATGAGCTACAGAACAAGAAGTTAGTGGGAATGGATATTTTACTTTTAAAACAACTGAGGTCTGTTTTTGTTATGTTTTAGAAGTTACCATCAGATTGCAGTAACAGCTACCAACAGCTGAAGCACATGCCACAGAGCACTACTTACATCCTCTATAGATCCCTGCTCAAAAAGAAACTCAGGCCTGAAGATTTTGACTTACATGACAGCAAGAAAAATTTCTCAGTTCCAAAACAGTAGTCCTGGTTAAAAGTTAAACTATACAGAAACACAAGGGTCTAACAAGTAACTGGAGAACTTAACTACAAGCAACAGGAATTCAAGTTCCCATTCCTACTTACAAAAAGTAGGCCACCTGCACCTTGCACACGGGGTTGTTTAAACTAGTTTCTGCACAGATACTTTTAAAACCATATGCCTACATATCTATAATTTAAAAAATACCTAAAGAAGGAGAGAAAACACACTAATTTTAGATATACATATTTGGTCCTGCACACTGCCCAGAAGTAACCAGTAGAAGGGTGAAAGACATTAATTATTGCTGGTGCATGTAAAGCCAGCTGGCAAATTCAGCCTATTTAAGCCATGTTTAGCAGACCATTCTGAAATTCTCCCACTGACTTAACAAGATATAGTCACGTACTTTTAAAGCTTTGCTCATCAGCTTAGATCTAACCATAGGCTTCAGTGGTCTGCTTATCTGCAGTCCCAAAAATGTCTCTAATGCACTGATACAGGTCATAAAGCAAAGGCATTCAGTTTGAAGGACAGCATGACCTGGGTGATGGTTAAGAAAATTGTATAAACCTCCCTTGCTCCTGAATTCTAGATACTGGATCTCAAAAGGACACTGTACAAGGAGACTGAAAAGACTGAACTGTCAAACAACTTACAGCTTATTATAACATTATGGTCTCCATCTCCCCCCCCCAGCATAAGGGGACTCTGTAACACACCAATTCAGGACACAAGTACTAAAAATATAGCATGAGTCAGAAGAAGCAGTGAAGATTAACACAGATAACAACAATATCTGGTTATAGCAGTTACTACAACAAACTCTAAAAGGAATAGAAAGCCTCATAATTTAGGGTTTAACCTCATCTGTAAGCTTTAATGATCAGTATCAAATTTTCACTGGGAGAAGTTACCAGTGCTTTTTACCTAAAGGCCACTGTGCCAGCCACTCTCTAAAGCAAACTATTGACAATGTGAGCTTCAATTACTATTTTTGAGTCAAGTGTCCCCAGTAAGGAGGTTTTACCAAAACATTAACAGTGGTACAGCAATTACTTCTTACCTAGCTGCACTGATCTAAATAATATTATTTTTAAAAGAGAATGCAATTCAGGCACATAAACAACAGATATGTTTTAAAATCTGTTCTTTTCACTGGCTGTACACCAATTTTCACATGCAGGGCGTTCTTTATTTTTGTTTCACCACCGATTCATTTGTTACAGAAATCCCTACAGTAACATATAGAACCAGGCTGCAAAAGAAACAGTGAAAACAAATGCCACAGCTAATGTGTTACATTAACAAGTTTGTCTCCTGCTTTTCATCTATTATTGTAACCAAAACAAAAGATTTGTCATCACACAACCTTCCCCATTAACAACAAAAGGATATTTTCAATGTTTCTGCGTAAGTTTTCATTGAGTTTTGCTTCAAGTTCACCAAGTTCTTCTTCTGCTTTTCTAACATCTTTCTGCAATTCAAGCCGAGACTTCCTGGTGTCGTAATAACCTCCAGTCAAAGCCCCACGGTGGCTGACTTGATCACCTGAGAGCACGAGAGAGTGAGACTATAAACAGCACAACATATGCTCTCCAGTGTAGCACAGCAGATTCACTGGAACATCAACTCACCTACAGAACTGCTGCATGTCTGAGCAATCATGGACCTATGTTTAAAGTAATTAGGGAAATGCTTATTTCTGTATTCAATTTAAGTGCATTTCCTTTCTCAAGACAAATGCAGACTGCTGTGATGTCCTTTAAGCTTTAGCTTGTTTTTAGTTCACTTCTGAAACCATGCAGCTTGAAGGAAAGAAAATATGTAGGAAAAATGCAAATGCCTAGCACTATCAGTTTGAAAAAACCCCTCGACTTTCTGTGAGGAAATAAACAAGAGATCAAGTAATCAGCAGCATCTGTGGCTTGTAGAGTATGCTGATACTGAAAAATTAGTAACTTCCTCCTCAGACATCCTTAGGAATTTTTTCAGATTGACTTTGAGTGACAAAAAGACAACAATAAGCCTGCAGGGAATCTGCCTTCTTAAGAACTGGCAATTAAGAAGAGTTACAGATTATTTCAGAGAACGTAGATGTAAACACGCCTGTTGCACTGGAGAATTCACCTTGCACTTCTCAGTAATTAAGGCCACACATTCACACACTAAACACTGGTTTAAGCTTGAGGAAAACATCATAAATATACTCCAGGAAAACAAACGCTCGTTAAATTGGATAAAACAAATTGTATGAATACAAACCTGATCTGCTTTACAATTCTCAGGATGGAGATACACGGCTACTAACTTTTAGCTCCTACAAGAATTCCACAGTTTCTGAGGAAATCCTGTATTTTTAAGCACTGTACTTAACCAAGTGCACCTTTGTACATACATCTCAGTCAAGTATACTATTATTTTAAATAATCTTATTTTGACAACACCAACAGACCATGTTTAATGAGCCTCACAAGCCAGGGATCCTGTTTTTACAATAAATAATTTATAAAATTGAAATACTTACCTTCCAGAGTGATACAATCCATAGTGAAAGCTCTGGCCAACTGGGTAGACACTTCCATGCTACGACAAATTAAAGTCTTCCCAAAAACATGTTTGAAAGCTTTATCAAATCTTGGATTATATCTCAGTTTACTGATCATAGGAATAGCATCCTGAAATGACAGGAATTTTAATGATAAGAACATATGGTAAGTATATTGCAGCTAAATTATACACAGCATTCAAGAGTAAAAATAGTCATAAACACTCTATGGAAATCAAGTGCAAGATATTGCAATTTTAGCTTCTCACAGCTAGGCTTGTGCCTGAAGTCAACTACAGGTCTGCCAGAAAACTCACAAGAGTATTAGATTGCTACTGAAACAAGCTGAATAAGTATCAGGTTTTTTTGCTCCAAAAAAATTACTGCTTTTTGTAGAGAGCAGAACACAAACATTAACAGTTGTACTAATACAGACTCCTCAAAATAAACACACTAGAAGTCTGCTTGTTTCCCATGTCTATCCAGGAAAAAGAGAAGAAAACCCCCTATTTTTGAAGAACTTATGCAACTGTGATTGCAGGAAGCAGTGTTAACGTTCACTGCTAAAGTTTCAAATAAGAGCCAATACTTTCTTGAAATGCATTACAGAACTATTTTTAAATAGCAGTCACTGAAGGTTTATTTATGCATTTTTAAATATAAAAACATAACTATTTCCAATAATTTTTATAATCTGTCCATGGCTGTAAGATGGCTATTCAGTTTTTGTCCATAGCAGCATTTAGGCTGAAAAAACTGCAATTCAGAATTTAGGCAATTCTTAATTTTTAGGTTACAAGAAAATTCTATCTTTTAGTATCGCCTTTTTACTTGTAAAGTGCAGTCAAACTTTAAAGAACAGATACCTCATAGGAAAGTATTTTTCTATAACAGAGGATTTTATGTTGAGAAGCATAAATTAGAAGTAGCATTTACTTGCAGACATCCACAGAAAAGCAAGTGGGCAATAAGCAATGTACACAAACAATTCAAAACATCAGGCTTTGTAATTATGAAGCAGAGGAAGGTTCAAAAGGAATTCTAACTCACATTAGTCTCAGGATAAGCAGTATCTCTAACATCCAGCTTGTTCAGAGGGAGGAAGGTAACTTCTCCAGGAAGGTTCATTTTGTTAAATTCCATTAGGATCTTTGTACTGACCTCATCAGAATCCACAATGTGATAAAACAACCTATTTAACAAGCCCAACAAACAGACAAAACTTTACTGTGCTAAAAGCACAAACATATTTCTAAAGGAACAGTAATTATGCAGGTACCATTAAATAACATATCAATATAAAGCTGCACTGCATTTTCCTTTCAATTCCATGCCTCAGGAAAAGCAAGTGGATACATTCTATTCACTTTAATATGAGATTAGACAAGAACTGTATATTCCACCCTCCTGTCACAAGAGCAGTTCAATCTCTCTAGAGCATCACTGTACACAAATATTTTACACGGACTCCTTAACACTCAACATCCTTTCAGAGCTTTTAGGTAGCAGCTTTTGACAGTTTAGAGACCATTCTCACCCAGGAGATTTTCTAGTGCGAGTGACATATTTCTTACTCTTATTGAAAGATCAGCCTTGTTTACTGTAGAATTTTCCACACTGGAAGATGCTGTCAACTTTAGGCAATATATCTCAGTTTCACCACCAGTCCTTCTGGTAAATGTCAGGAGTGTGGCTCTGGGCCTTTTTTTGTTGTTTGTGGGGGTGTTTTTTCTTTTTTGTTTTAGGGGTTTTTTTGACAAAGTCAAGAGCAGCTAGGCTTAATATTCAAACAGGCAAAATTATTCTTATTTCCTTGACAAAGGAACTGCAGTTTGATCATGCTATATAGAAGGCACTTTGACAAAAGGAAGGCAAGAGCTCAAGTTCAAAAGACTAAAATTTCAGTAGCAGCTTGCACCAAGAACTGAGCTGTGACACTGCACTAAAGAGCATGTCATTACCTGTTCCCTGCAGTAACTTCAACACAGGTGTAGAAAGCTGGCTCACACTCAAAGTTATTCATCACAATGCCATGGTAGCCATTCAGAACATGCTGGTTTATCCCTTTGCGACGAAAGTGCTCCAAAACTTTGTTTATGCTGTCTATACCATTCAAAATGGCCTGTTGAAGAACAGCTTATTATTGTATTCCAGTTAAAATATGTACACATAATATCCACTTTAACTTAGTGCAAGTTGTAACCTCCTTTTCTGCCAAATTCCTGCTAACTAACCCAACAGCTCTAACAGAAAATATCTAAATACTTGAGTTCATTACTTTTCAGTTTTGTTTGTTTGGGTTTTTTAAGCAAAAAGATATCAGAAAAAATTTTAGAAGTATTTCATTTCTGCCTGGTCTCCTCACATCAATTACCTTGAGTTTACAAAACAAATTTTCAAGTAGTTTTAGAGCTATAAATATTTGAAAAATTTAGCTTCTGATATCACTTGTTTTAATCATGACAGAAAGACTGTAATTAAAAAAGTAACTATGGTATCTTTCAGATATGACTATGACTTGTCCTTTAAGAATAAGATTCCACAAGGAATTCTCAAACATGAGGTATATTACCTTTCCTGTTGCTGCTCTGAGAAGCTGCTGTTTCTTTTCTAAATCCTCCCTCTTCGCAGCAAGAGCTTGTTGTTCTGCATTTTCTTCTCTCCACAGATAACTACAGAACAAAACCAGTAAAATTTTGAAGTGTGAATGCAATCTGAAGATTTTATTATTATTTCCTTAAAGACTGCTCATCTAATGGGAAGGCAAAGTGCAGGAGTTCATACATGGCCATATTCAAAAAACATACCTACATGCCATGTTAACAACTACACAGTTGGGGTCCTTCATATTAAGTGAGACTGAGACATATTTCAATTAATTACTAACTTTCTTTCACTCTGTAGTTCATCCTTTTTATTTTTCACTTCATAGTATTTTCTGTCCAGTTCTTCAACACGAGCCTTCACTTCATTAAGATCCTGGTCCAGTTTCTAATACAAAGAAAATAACAGTATGAAATTACAAGTCTTTATATGAAACAAAATCTTCATTTAATACTGAACTATTACTTAAAATTCAGAAAACAATTCCTACAAACATTTAAACCAGTTTACAACAAACTGCAAAAGCACTAAGAATAAATACATCTTTGTAAGGAAGCAGTAACAAGGTCTAGCTGCTACATAGATGGCAAGGCAGGCAGAGTTCAGCTGTGCCTCTGGGCACTGAAGTGAAATGGATCAACTGTAAGTCACGGTAAGAATGTAACTAAATATAAATTATATAACTATTATAACTACTACTATAACTACTGTGTAATCATGCTCATAAATGAGATTTGTGATAAGAACACACATAGTAATCTCATGTACCATGCCATCCTGCTATCAGTCAAAAATCTTAGGCTGCTCTCCAGCAGTACTAGACTTTAACACATCTGCTGTTGATGTGTGCTGCTTAAGCCAACAGAGACATCTTTCCTTTGTTCATTTAACACCTGCCACTTACAAAGCAGTTCAGGGCTAGTACTCAAGATTGTGTTTATATATTTATATGTGTACAAGGAGGAGTGACTGTGTTCTAAAAACATAGTCAACTTGTTCCAAACTACCTTCGCAAGCTCTCAATCACATTCACCCAAGACACTTTCTCTCTGAACAACAAAAAGCTGTACAATTCTTTGCCTAAGCATAAATCAATCTTCCTTAGGAAGAAAAAGAAAACCACACTTTCCTATAGAAAGGAATCAAAACCCACCCCAAATTTAACCTCTTCAATGCTACAGAATACCCATTGAACAGGATGGTCCAATTACAGTCAGCCAAAGAAATCCTATTTCTTTCATTCATCAACTCAGAGAATCACTACTTTGCCAATGTGGGCCCCAACCAAGCAGTATTTTAGCTGAACACCATCTTTTTTGTACAACTACATTCCTGCATGCTGTCAGACTGATCCTCAGTTTTAGCAGATATATTACACAAAGGCCAAGAACACTGTCTATCAGCATTGGCACTGTATGCTCTCTCAATACAAGAGCAGAGCTTTTCACTGCTGTAACTCCTAGCAGGAGTGCTATTTTTGGATTATACTGCTGTATTTGCAGTGTAAGAGCTGTTTCTGAATGGAAATTAAAATCTAAGTTATGCAAATAATACTACAACAGATCAATCTTCTAACATGCCTAGGGTTGCAACTCTAACCAGCTGCAATCATGGTACAAGGGCAGTGCCTGCTGCATAGTTTAAAAGATCCTCTTGCTTGGGGAAAATGAGAAAAGTGAGACCAACCAACACAGACTTCTATAAGAACATAACAAATGTTTATCTATGACATGGTCACATTCAATGTAGACAAGAGCAAGGCAGATAGAAAACTCTTCCTGAAAACTCAGGCCAAACATACTGGGGAAAGTACTACAAGGCAAAGCCAAGACATAGAGTGAAGTTGGATGCTAAAGGAGTTTAAAGCTTATCTACAGCTGTTTTCAATAACACATTTTTCAAAGGCCACACCCAACCAGAAAGTCACATCTTCCTTACAAATAGGCATTGAAGTCTAATTGTCCAAGATCAAAATGAGCATTTAACTCTTCTCTCAAAAACCCTGAGAATAAGCTGAAAACTTACACTGTACTGTTCCAAGTTTTTCTCCTTGTTTGCCTCTGTATCCTCTAAATCCTTGTGTATAGCTGCAATCTGCCGCTTCTTGTCATTGATGGCTTGATCTAAAGACTTCAGTTCTTTCTTTATCCACTTATCCCTTTCCTCTTTGGAAGTAAACTGGCTCCCTCGACCTTGTTTTGCATAAAGATCTGTTCTTTCTTGTGTAGCCTGTGCAAGTCTACATTGAGAAGCAAAAGACGTGGTGTATTATAAGGAAATCTTGAATTTATTAAGAGTGAGCATTAAGAATTACTGTTAGAATTTTCAAGAAGTGTCAAATCATCTAAAATGATCTGTCAAATCTAAAATTTAAGCACCAAATCAGTAACAGAAAGAAAAGGATAATATTATAAACAACAAAAATCACCCAGAAGACTTCAGAAGAAGTCAACCACGGCCCACAAAGTGGCCACAAAAGCTTAAAAAAAAAAATCATTTCACCAAATACTGTTCCCACTCCAACAATAAGGAAGGCTTTTTACAGTCCATCTCCAAACACATAATAGCTACCCCATTGTTGAGCAACAAGTACACTTTAACTGCACAGATGAATAGGATTGATAAAATTTTTCCTAAATGTTTTGACTCCCCGTTATAGAAGGGCACAAACCTAGCAATTCCTCTCTCTTCTTTTTCTTTTACGCTGTTAAATTTTGGCTCTGTTTCTGCCAATTCCTTCTGCTTCTCCTCGATTTTCTCAAGAAGCTTTTGCCTCTCTTTTAGCAGTCTTTTCTGAAAGTCAAACAAAGCAGTATTTAAAGTTAGGTAACAGCAGGAACTATTTTTACATATATGCACACTTCTGAAGAATAACTACACTGTAAGGCTGCAAGATGCCAGTGGTTATCTGACACTATGCTATTTTAACACTTAACAAAAGTGAATTCCTTTCCAATCAGGACAGCAAAGAGGGATGAAATTAAGCATTCTCAAGAAGTTAAATTACACAAGCAAGGAAGGTCTGTATGGGCCAAACAACCAAGTTCAAATTAGTGCTTTAAACAAAACCCTCTGTCCCAATACTTGCAGCAATTAAGATCAAGAGAATTATAGGTGCTTGATTTTGCAACATGCAGGATGATAAATAAAGGACTATAACACAAAAGTCCAAGTTTACATCCCCTGGAATCACACTAAAGACAAGACTAATTTATCTGTCTGGGAACAGACAGGCTGCAGTCTGAACCCAAAACTTCAGAGTACAAGAGCACTTTTAAGACTTCACTGCTGTTACATACCCTTTGTTCACTGTTGCCAGCTAATTCATCCTGCAGATCCTTAGCCTTCAGCTCTAATTTAGTCCTCTGCTTAATCTGCTCTTGTCTTTCAGCACTAAGTTGTTCTTTCTCTTCTTTCATTGCAGAAATCTTTGTCTTCAGTTCTCGAACTTGCCGTTCTATTTCCTGTGCAAATTTAAGTGTGCAGTATCTCAGACACTGCACCCACATTTCACTATCTACAAAACTCACGTGATCGTTATTCTGTACATCACGATACACCAGAAGTGTGAAAGACTTCTCACGTTTCCAAACAGGATCAAAGTATAAAACTGGATTTAATACAGTTTTAGACACCACCAGCCCTCCTCCCCTCTCCAAAAAATGCAAACCCACAAAGCAAAACACATCTGGAGAGCCCTTTTAGAAGTATTTTTACCTCCATTTTATCTCTAGCATCTTGCTGTGCATCTCTCAGCTGCCTTGATTTCTCTCCACTTGTCTCTCGTTTAGCAGAAAGCTGTATGGAAACATCACCAATAGCTTAAGTAGCAAGAATCTGTTTTAGTAGTGGTTCCGGAAAGAAAAGAATTTGTTTTATTGGTGAAGAACACTGATGTTGAAGAATACATTCAGTGCAGGTAGCTCAGTGGGCAGCTGCAGACCGCTGCAGATTAAGCTCTGGGTGGTGCATGCCCCAGGCAGGAGAGCCCAAGGCAAGACACTGTGAACTGGTGCCAGGGCCCAGGGATCTGTGAGCAGGCCAGGTAGCTGGACACTGGGAGACACAGCAGGAGCCAATGACCCCAGACTTGCATGTGCTCAGACTCTGAGGGGATAAAAGTCCAGGGCCTCCTTTGTTTGGGGTCCCTCCTCAGAGGCACCCAGCTCGAGCTGTTCTGTTATTTAGTTATGACACCAAGATGAAAATTAAAGTCTGCTGTGGGAAACCTGGTCTGGCTGTGTGAGTGAGCACCTGTTGGCTCACTGGAGCTGCCCGCTGCTGAAAAGACTTTGGTCCCAGCTCAGCTGGTGGGGCTGTGACTGACAGAGCAGCTCCTGGATGGTTGGACAGGAAAGTTTCCTTAACACTGACAGGATTCTACCACGGAACACAAAGAGATGGTGGCAAAAACAAATCAGCAGCTCATGTTGTATCTCGTACCAGCCAAGATATTTTACCTCATCAAGCTTAGCTCGAGTTTCATTAAGCTCTTGATTATAGATGGTGTATTCTAATGCTCTCCTCATTTTATCCCATTTCTGGTACTGAGCCAGCTCTTCTTTCTCCTCTTCGAGTGTGTGCAGTCGCTCTTCAATGTATTTCAACAACTCGTTGATCTTCTCTCGCTTGCCCTCTTCAGAAAAGAGGACAAGATTCAGTTAAGCACTAATATATTCCCACACATTTGCAGCTACTGAATCTCCTGAAGTGATTAATTATTTCTCAGGAGAAATCTGAAGAGAACCGATGTCCAGAAGTTCCCAAGAAAATATCCTAACAGCAGAACTGTTGATAATTGTTATGTAAGGCAACACTAACACAAACCCTCTTGGCTCACACACTTAAAAAAATTATAGACTACCTGACATGAACTTTAGTGTTTGTATGGCAGTAGGTATCCTGATTTTTATCACTGCCAGCTGACATCACTCATGTTTTGAACAGTAAATTTATCCCTACTAGCTCAGCTAAAAAGTTTTATTACTAAAAGCACATGTGAAGTGACTTATTAAACCTTTGAGCTATTTGAAATTCAAGGAGGAAATATGACATGTTCTGTATCATTTAACATATCACAAAATCTATCTAGTAATTAGCACTACTGAAAAAGTCAAACTTTCAGAGTTAATGGAATTACTGTGGCATAAAACAGTAATTTCTTAAACCGTTTTACCTGTTTCTTTCATAAGTGAAATACTCTCCTCTTTACGTTCATCATACACTCTGGTACCAGCTACTTCTCTCAGTAACTTCAGTCTTTGAGAGTCAGGAGCTGTAGCCATCTGGTTGATCTGAAAATTCAAGATTTATGATTTCAATAGCCTGCTCTGGATGTATGGCTAACCAGAAGAGACCAAAGATTCCATTTATTTTGCTGTGCCTGGTTGCCTGAGGTTTTGGCAGAAAGATTCAGGTACACAGTATATACCACACTATTTTTCTTTTGAGACAATTAGTTTACTGGATGGTAAGTACTCTGCTTGTAATGAAATTTGTTGGTTTCCATATATTACTAAACTGAAAATCAGGATACAAGTACTACATACACTGAAGAAACCATAATTCATTCAAAATTACATTTAGAAAAACTCAAGCTTGAGTTTTTAAGCCCTGGTGCTAAATCAAACAGTTTAAATGCCTCCATAAAACCACACTAAAATTCTGGGGTTATAAATCTTAGAATAATTCACATAACGAAACACTCATTAATACAACATTAAATCAGCCATACAATTACACCCAACATAAAACTCACTTCCCTTTAATAGAATTTCAGAGGTTGCATCCTTTTCTAAGAAGGTTACTGTTTCTAATTTGTATTACATTAAAACCAGTATGGGTATTTTGGCTTTAAATCATGTGCACCGATCCCCACTACAAAACACAAATGACATTCCAGCCCAAGTCATTTCTTTCAAATACACACACTGAGCTGTATAGGAAAACTTATCCTGATAAACATTTGAGGGATTTTACTATGGTCAGAATTCTTGTCATCAAGTGCTCAAGTCTCCTGCATTTCTGTTTAAGTATCCCTTCCAGTAATCTTTTGGAGGTGACAGTGACTCCTTGAGGATGCATCCTGTGAGCCATTACAAGTAGAATGTCCTTTGCCTACAGCTTTGCCCTTTATAAGCTCTAGGAAGCTGCCTGCATCTCGAACAGCAGCTCAGACAGGCTGAGCCCTTTCCCTGATGTGTGTTCACTTCCAGTACTTCACCATGTTTCCATTCATTCTCCATTGACAGTATTTTTAATCTCCTAAAATTCCCTACCATTACTTTGCTGCCTCATCTGAAGGCCCAGAAATCTATGAATTTACATTACAACAGTCATAGGGATCAAGTTTGCTTTGTACTTAAGTATGGAAAAGCACCTGATGGCCAAGAACACCATAAAAAAAGCCCTTTTCTAAATATCAACATTACAGATATGATTTTTTTTTTAAAATCAACATAAACTCCTAGAACAGTAATGTTTGCAAAAGCAGCATCTACATACAAGAATCATTTCAAACTAAAAATGGATTTAGGTTCTAGTTTACTTCTGCAATAATTGAGGAAAGTTCAGCATCCAGGGAGCATGATACTCTTGACAGTTATTCCTTCCATTTTGTGAAAAAGAATCTTACCTTTCCTTGTTTGACAATATAGTAGGGATTACTGCGAGAAAATCCAGCACTTTCAAGAAGATTCATTACATCATTTTTCCTGAAATGTTATTATGAATCCATTAAGAACACAGTGAAAGTCACAGCTGTAAAAATTCAGTAAAGTATCACAACTATATATCACATACTATAATCACCATGTGCAATGCATGCTGTTTGAAGAAGCTTCTTGATTTGATAATGGTTAACTCTAAAATGAAATGAGAGAATAAAAATGGAAAATATCTAAAATACTATAGCGTTGGAAAGAGACTAAGAAATAAGCACCTCAAAGCACAGAGGAGGCAAATACAGGTAAAGATATCACAAGGAAGGATATAAAACAAATCTAACTCTTCTATTTTAAAGAGGCCTGAAAGAAATACTATGTGAGTAGTTAAACATCACATTAAACAATGGATTAAACTGCAAATTCAAAGTCTCCTGTCTATTGCACAACAACTGATGTTCTAGCTGTTGGTATTACACAACAGAAGTAAATGATTTCAGGCTAGGGATGCAAGTGTTTGGTTGGACTAAAAAATGTTACAGAAATACTACTAGTCTCATTCAGAAAAGGAAAAGAAGTACCTACGTCACCATTTTCTTGTCTAAGAAATATTGGTCCTTCTTGGCTCCAATGACTCTGCGAAGTGAGACTTCCTCTTTATCAATCTTAAGGAAACAAAAACCAGTAAATATACATACCCACTGCAAGTAGCTGTAACTAATCCAGAATGTTTGTGGCATTTTTTATCAGAAATGTCTCCAAGGCAGTTACTGTACTGAAGACTTGCTCTAAGAATGAGATTACAAGAGACTGAAACAATAATCTATTTCCAAAGCAGTTTGTTCAACTCACCGGTAACCTGTTGTCCGAATTGTCAAATATAATTTCCACAAATGCTGAAATAACACGAGGACCTGTACCTTCCTAAGACAAGAGATATTTTGGTTAGATAACTGCCACCTTTGAAAATATTTTAAGCTCATTCATCTCCCCTTTCTCCTGACAACCCCACCTCCCCTTTCCTTTCAAGGACTTGAGAGTCAAGATCATCTTTGTAACATTCAGCACAAAGATTTTTATTTCTGAAAATCTTGGCTACATATTCACTGGTGTGCATTATCAATAGAATGTATTACTTTGTAATAAATTCCCTTTTGCCAATGGGAAACGAAAAATGTTTCAGGATACTTTCAAAACAATTGGCTTAAAATATCCACAGCCCAGCAATTTAACATTTTTGTAGAAACATTCCAGTGCATTAGCTTATTCTTTAGTTTTGCTGCCATACACCTTCACTTACATGCAACAAAGCCAGTCTCTGCTCTGGGCGAAGATGACTAAACTCATCACTGAGGACAAACTGGATTGCTGTAATAAAACAGTAAAGAAACAGAAGACTTATTCTCTCCTTCAGGGAGATATGCAGCAGTTTCATTAACTCAAAACATACTGATTTACTATTGTATAATAGAGTCACGCTGTTGCTAAAATTTTACAGTATTTCTTCCTTAAAAACCTTAGTCTGCTGGATCTTTACCACTCAGCCTGCTGTACACCAGGATTTCTCTGAACACATCATTGTTGCCACATTACTAGTTCACTGCAAAATCACTAACAATGGTGCACAAGCAGAGATTTGTGAGCTTTCCTCTAGAAATACAGAGCACACAAGGCTAGGCTAAAAATATTGCTACCACTTAACCTTTGACAATTTCTGAACACAACCATCACAAAGGCTACTAACACCTTTAACCAGCATCTCTGCTCCTCCATTAACGCTCCCACTCCACAAAATCCCCCTCATAACCACATGTTAAAAGACTGTATAAGCTGTGCCAAACTGCTGTGGAGTAGAATTTAGCCACTAAGAATGTCTAAAACATCGTCTTTCATGGTGGGTGACTTTCAGAATCAAGTTTCCTCCTGTAAATACTTCTTTTGGCCATTTTGAAATTAGAAGGCTCTTAGTAAGAGAAATTGAATACCAGGGAAAAATCTGAAGTAACTATTGAACAAGGGCATTGGGATCTGCCTTTCAACAATCAACTAAACGTTGAGGAGGAACGTTTGGTAAACCAACTTCTAGCAAAAACAAGCAAAGAAACCTGGTATCATCAGCATCCCGGTGCTAAAAAGAAATCCATGCTTACCATAAAAAAAGTTGCTTTTTCCAGATCCATTTCTTCCCACTGAAAATTAAACCACAAAGCATAACCTCAAGTTAACATATGTTAGCAGTGCAACGTACATTAAATGCTGCATAAAAATATTCCAGAATAGAACCCAAATATAACACAGCCAAGCAAAATCTCAAGGGAATGAGGCACATTTGGTAGGTGGATCACTCAGTCACTGAGAACAAGAGAGCAGTCCTTTGCCCACACAAACGTGTTACAATGATTTACAAACTCCAACACCATTCCACAATGAAAATTATAGTTAAAGCAATCCTATTTATTCTCATCTTTTTGGTTTTTATACTGATCTTCTGGTGGGATAGGAACAGTAAACCTAAATCAAATTCTCCTGGCATATTTAACTGGAGCAAATCACTTGCCTGTACATTCAGGTTGACACTGAACCTCAAGTAGCATATTGTGCTGGTTTGGGCTGGGGTAGAGTTAACTTTCTTCACAGTGGCTGGTATGGGGCTGTGTTTTGGATTTGTGCTGAACACAAGGATGATAACATAGAGATAGTTTTGTTACTGCTAAATGGGGCTTACAGAGCCAAGGCCTATTCTGCCCTTTGTACTGCCACACTGGCAAGGAGGTCAAAAGGTTGGGAGGAAACGCAGCTGGGACACCAAACTGACCAAAGGGATATTCCAGACAGTGACATCATGGTCAGTATATCAAGCTGGGGGGAAGGAGAAGGGGGGAGGTTTGGAGTGATGGCATTTGTCTTCCCAAGGAACTGTTATGTGATGGGGCCCTGCTCTCCTGGGGATGCCTGAACACCTGTCTGACCACGGGAAGCAGTGAGTGAATTACTTGTTTTGCTTTGCTGGTGTGCATGGCTTCTGCTTTTCCTATAAAACCCTCCTTATCTCAACCCACGAGTTTTATAGTTTTGATCCTTCCAATTCCCTCCCTGATCCTGCTGGTGGGGGAGTGAGTGAGCAACTGTGTGGTACTTGGTTGCTGGCTGGGGTTAAACCACAACACATCTGAACTTCCACTTGCTAATTCAGCAATATTTTGTTTTAAAAAGACTGGAAGAAGTACTACTTCTATTTCAAAAATAAAGCTGTAAGAACACAGCACTACACTACCATAATCTTAGTGTTTATTCCAACGTGTTTCAGCAAGGCCCAGTGTCTCCTCTTTGAGATCAGTACCTACTGTATTAGTTTAAAAACTGCTTGACTTCCAGCAGCAATGAGCATCCCAGGCCTTTCATCCCTTCACAGCTACATGCCTTCCAGATTCACCTCATCCCCAAAATTACTTGAGGATCACTATGAAGTCTTAAAAAAAAGCAAAGTCTGATTTTTTTAGTGTACTTTAAAACCATCGATACCTGGATAAAGTTTTAGCTCCTGTGGAAGTAACACTACAAAGTAAAACGTGCTATTTGTGTCGTGTGTGTTTTTTCTAAGACCAGAGTAAATCCCACCTACTAAGATTTTACATCCAAAATTGTCTGTTTGTTGTTGGGTCAGCAGTCTCAAAAGTTGCTGCACAATCACAAAAATCAATGCACATGAAAAGGCAGGGCCAGGTGTCCATGGGCAAAACCAGGAAGATGCATGAGAACGGTTGACAACAACATGCTATTAGAGTAGGTGTTATTTATCAAACTGCACTTTAAACTTATACTTTCTGACAGCCCACATTCCAAAAATTCATTCCTTTAAAGCTGGAAGAGGATCTTCTTTCCCTGTAGCAGTTTAGAGTAGCTGGTGTGCTTATTTATAAAAAAATGATCACACTTCCACAGAGGGAAGAAATAAAAATCCCAGGTGAGTTTATGGACCTCACTCAGTCTCTGAAGACTCAGATGTACAGCAAAATTGAACAGTAGCATTAGTTTGCTGCAAGTGGAATACACCTTGTGGTATGTTACAAACTGTACAGAACTTTCTGAAACACAAAATATAGTCATCAAATGCAGGCAAAATACTGAAAATTACAAAGAAGACCAATGTGAACAACATCTGAAATAACACTGCAACTTTAATTAGTGTGAAAAAACAAGTATTGGAACTTACCAATGACATTGTGTTTGGAGCTGAATGGGTCCACAATGGTTTGGTCCCTGTAGCTTCGAAAGCCCTGAATTATTACCTGGAGAGAAGAGTGAGTTATTTTAACCAAGTTCTCTGTTCTCGAACAGTCTTTGAAGTGTAAGGTTTGACAGAATATTTACATCAATTGTAAGGTAACTGATTTCGCCTGCCCTTCCCACACAAACTCAACTTTCCAGTTCAACATCAGACACTTACATCATAAAACCAGCCCCTCACCTAAGCATCACCTTAGGGACAGATTTCTCTCCAAGCAAGAGATGCTGTGTAGGTCAAAGCACAGCAAACAAGAGAGTCCCGAGAATCTTCTTGTAACAAACTACACAAAAATATATATTTGTTTTAAGTATCATATACAGGAAAGAAAACTCAACATAGCAAGTGCTTATCCCAGCAGGGCCAAATTTATTTCTAACTTTTATAACGCAATCCACTTACACCTGAAGAATACTATTTGCAAATTCTCTAAACAGTGCAATTGCAGGCCAGAAAAACTACTAAACTGCCTATTTCACATACAATGCAGTCTTGTTTTACTGTGCAACCTAAGGGGAAACATAAAAAAGCAAGTTATCTTGGTTCTGGCAAATTCAATTCCTAAACAAATACAAACCTACACAGACAACCACAGGAGCTACTCTTCTGGGAGCAGCATGTAGAATCTCAACTCCTCCATTTCAGCAGCAGTTGAGGTTTGCCAAGCCCAGTAGCACACAAGGCAGAAAATGACAATATCCAAATACTTCAGTGCTGCATAGCAGCAAAACTGATCCAACTTCCAGCACCAAGTAATTTGTTCCATACATTAAAGCTGTGCTGGAAGCCTACACAGCAGCTTTGCTGTGCTCAGTGAGACATCAGAAAGACAGCAGCCACCTGAAGGTTTGATGTTTGCAGATTTTTCAGCACCAACACTTACAAAAGGACTACAGTTGATATTTTATAGCAATGTTCTTCACCCAGCTCTTCCAACGAGATACAGTTAAAATAATGGCAAGCTCAGTGCCAGCAGCTTTCAAAGCAAAAACAGGAACAGAAAATCTTACTCAGGTCTTGCCACTAACTCCAGGCCACAGCATCTGTGTTCCCTCATTTGGATTTTAAAAATTAAATAAAAAATATTTTTAAAAAACCCAAACATTTTGCAAATAATTCTGCTTCCCAATTCACCACATTTCATGACAGGAAAAAAATTTTAAAGAATGGGAAAAAAAATTTGGTTTCTACTGTTTTTACAGTTTACCCGTAATATTCTTAAAAAATCCAGATTGGAATAATTAATTTATTTTATTCTCATAAGAACCAGAAACTCTCCACAAAAAGATAAAAACAACCCATTATTATTTACTGGATATTGCCAGAGAAACCAAACTTTTACCACCCACATGCTGGGGCAGACTGAACACCATCATCTTCCCCCAAAGTTTTTCTCTGGATGGTTTAGCACTCCTTCCATCCTACATGTTCTGAAGCTTCATGAGTTCTTTATTGCCTTGTATAGACTCGGATTAAGACTTAAATAACTTTAATGTTCAAACTCCAGGAATAATTTCTGGGAAGCAACAAAATAAGGGATACTGGTGGAAACAAATTACTTTTATTCTCAAGTTCACACTTTGTTACACTCTATTTTATAGCTCCTAGAATAGTATTGGTTATTGAACACCCAAATTTCCTCTTTTTTCCCCTCCAAATGAAACATTTCCCCTGTTCTGAGTTGATTTGGACTTTTTATTCTAAATATCTTCACCACTGTTTACTTTTGTGCAATTCAAACCTTGAGAACAAGAACTCTTATTCGAGAACTTTAAAACAAGGTGCACACCTGTGATAAGAGTGATTGACAAAAGCACGAACAAAAGGCATTTTAAACACTGCCCAGTCAGCCAAAGAGTAGACGAAAAGCTAATTTTTACTTAGAACATGCACTTTCTAACGTGATAAAGCATTCTTCTTAATAATGATATCTGCAGGGTGTCAAAAAAAAGGGTCAATTTTGAGTCCACCGGGAAATGAGAACCTCAGCAGGCTTTGTATGAACGTGCACAGGCAGTGGCACGAAAGCAGTGATAAAAATCGGTGCATACTACGCAATATACTGCTAAAGCGGCTGCAGGGATATACTGCAGAAGTAACATTAATAATGACCTCAAAAACTGTTTGAAAAAGGTCCACACCAGGATATTCTTTTTAACTGAACGTCAACCTGGCAAGGGTGAAGTACAACAAGCAAAGTGGTCCAAGCCCGGGGGCCTGAGACATCACCCCAAAACAAAGAAGAGAACCCAAAACCTGAACAGCTGCAAGGTGCCGCCTGACACCTGAGCAGAGCCCTTTGTTTGGGGACGAGCCTGCGGGCGGTCGGGACACCCGGGCTGCTGTACAAAGGGTCCCCGTCAACAAGTCCCGGGTCGCAGAGGATCAGCCCCCAGCGCCGCTTCACACCACTAATGAATGAAACCAGCCGCGGGAGCTGGGGCAGGGCAGGCATCGTCGGCCCACCCGGCGGTGGGACTGGGCCCGTGGTCCCCCCCGGACCGCGATCTTCCCCCCGGGGCAGCGACGGGCCAAGCAAAGGCCTGAGGGCCCGCCGCCAGCCTGCGGGCCCCTTCCTATGGGCCGGGCAGGTGTGAGACTGAGAACTCCCCACCCCGGGCGGGGCGGGCTGGGCCAAGTCCCCTGCCAGGCCCAGGCCGCGCCGCACACGGCGGGCAGCTCCAGTCCCGCCGGCTCACCTGCTTGATGTACATGTTTGCCACTAATGGAGTGGGCGTGCGCCCCGCTGTCGCTCAGCCCGCCCTCGCCGTCTCCTCCCGGACCGAGCGCTCAGCCGGACCGCGGGTCTCCGCCGCCGCCTCCCGCCCCCTCAGCCGCCGCGGGGCCCCCTCACAGCGCTCGCTCGGCCCTCACGCAAACAAAATGGCGGCGGAACCTCCCCGTCCCGTCCCGGCGCGAACCATTCCGCCCCACATGGAGGGGGAGTGCGGAGCAGAGGGCGCGGTCCTGCCCCGCCGGAGAAGCGACACTGCGAGGGACAGAGGGATATTCCCCTTTTTAGAGCCTTCAAAGTGCCCCGATGGTCTTTTGGAAGGTGCTCCGGAGGGGGGAAGGTCGTCAACGCTGCCCGCCATCGCGGCAGCGGTCCCCCCGGGGAGTTGGGAAAAGTGGTTTGTCCCGCAGAGGGGCGGGTTGGGCGCCAAAGGCAAGTTGAGCGGAGCGGGGAGAGCGGAGGCGCGCGCGGGGGCGCGGCGGGACCGCCGGCAGGGGGCGCTGTCGTGGGGACCGTTGTGGCGCCCTGTGGGAGCGTTCACCCAGAACGTGAAATAAAGGCTTCATTTGGAGTCCTGTCTTTTATTCGAGGATATAAAACTATTTTTAAAAAATAATATTAATAAAAAGGGGCATTAGCAGCATTAGGGCCTGCGGCGGGGGATCCAGCGTGCCCCTCGCCCCAGCCATCTCCTCCGGGCCGGCCCCATGGCTGTGCCGGGCTGGGAGCCCCCAAAGCTCCCCACCCACCGGGAAAACCCTGGGCAAAACCAAACAGGTGACCAGAGTGAGCGAGGCAAATAGGAACGGTACGAAACGTTCTCAGGCAGACAGGCTGGCTGGAGTCTCTGCCCACGCCTTCATCTCGCAGAGCTACTGCTCAGCTGCCCCAAGGAGCCCTCAGAAACACAAAAATAAGGAAAATGGTGAAACAGAAACATTCATTTTCTCCTAATCTCTTCCAGTTATGGTAATTTTAGGTGTTGTTGTGACAACGTCTCAGAGAAAATGAGATTTTCAGTTTGGCAGTGCTCCTTTAAAACTGCAGCTGTCGCCAACACTTACAGACACATGACAGAATTCCTCCACTGATCCTCTTAATACTAATAAAAATTAGACTTAAACTGAAAGGTCTAGTTTCTACCTCCCCTAGAATAATAGATGGATGAATTACTTTTCTTCCCTAATGGGAAAATCTCCTCAGTTTCAGACATTCTTAACTACGGTGTAATTAAATGGTTTTACTAGCAGCCCTTCAAGAGGCTAATGTAACACGCTTTACCAGCATCTTTAAAGAAACAGTCTATTGTTTCTTCAGAAAACACAGGGCTTAAAAAACTAATGTATTTAATGGTTGCTCTCCAAATTCAGAGAGAAAATTTCCTGCCTGTCTTGCTTTGCTTTTAAATAGCTCCGTTCAGTGGGCATGGGCAAAAAATATTTTCTCTATTTGCACTTTCAAAATCCCTTTCATCTTAGGATTTCAGGGAATTTTAAATTCTTAAATGAGTCTCCCAATGTCTTTCTGGGATTGGTCTGTGATACTAAATTTACTCTTCACTTTTTCTGGGGCGAAGTGACATGATGCCAGTAGTTTGGGTTTCAGGTGTCTGGCCGTCCAAGGGGGCTCATTGTCAGGGGGGAGAAAAGACTTCAAGAAAAGAAAGAAAAGTAAAATTCCCCACTTTTCCTTACAACACAATTAACCAATCGTGTACCTCGTTAAAATAATTATTTACATCCATTTTTGTGTTAATATTTTCATATAAACAAATTGCGCGGATTTGCACATTCTAAATAAACTTGGAATTTTCAAAACCACCTGAAGCATTCAGGTGGGAGAAAATAGAAATATGTTTTACGCATTTGAGACTGTTGGCACTGCACAGTGGGCAGCGCATTCCAACCTCTGCTGAGACACGGCAGCAAGGGGTTTGTCCCAACAACAGCTGGGATATCTCCTCACTAACAGTCTTCTCCTCCTGCTGACTACACGGGCAGAAGGAACCCTCCCTGTTTCTCAGGGCAGTAATAGGCATAAAGATGTTCTTAAATTGGCAGGTTCTAAAGCTCATTCCTCTTTGTATTATGCTTTTAGAGGTACAGGTTGCCTTGAGTCATGTTTTTGAGATTTCCTTCTGTAGTTTAGAAGCTTATTTTCACTTAATCATAAACTCCCAAGCAAGGACTCTCTTCATCCTCTAAAGATGGGGTTCAGAGAAACCAGCTGAGGAAAAATATGCCTTTTCTCTTGACTGCTGCGGTGAAATTGTTGTGCCTGGGTGCAGTGAGTCCTCTTGAACACCCTGTCTCAAGTCAAATAACCCACATCTGGTGCTCCAGACAGCTTGCTGTTGTTGAGGTGTACCAAGATGTGCATCACTCTCTGTATTATGAACATGCACAAATAAGGACTTGGGATCTCTTTTATCCCCAGGTGTTCATCCTCTCTTGAGGACTTTGCATATACAGCATACTCCTGGGGTTTGGAGAGGGCTTATGTGTGCATACAAATGAGCACAGACACCAGGTTATATTTATTTATAGGAATAAAATCATATCTCACTGATATTTCATCATCAAACACTCTCACCAGTGTGATGTGCTTGCAAAAATAGCTACTGTATTCATTAAGGATTAAGTGGCAAATGATTGTCTAGTTCAAAGAGTGTTTCGAGTAGGGCCCCTGCACACAGGTTTTGTCACATAGTTTTTAAAGATTTATACTTGAGGGAGTGGAGTGGTGGGGTAGGTATTGTATTTTTTTTATCCTTTTGTTTTTGTAGTACATGCTGAAAATATGCACCCACCCCAAGGGTGATGCACGTAATTTTTATTCTGTCAAGCTGCTGTGGCCGTAGGAGTGCAGAAAGCTGGAAGCCTGTAAAACAGCGCCCTTCATTCAGAACCTGCAAACATATAATCAGTGCTTGCTGCGTGAAATTCACCTCAGTAGGTGCTGCAGAGATTTTTTTCTATGGTCCTGCTTTCTAAGCAGTGTTTTTGTATAAATATGCTAGAATTAAATATTAGCATTAGAAAGGAGAAAGTGGGAACACTGCTTTAATTCATCTAGGCTTCATCAGCATAAAAATACGTCAGGCATTTCTTTCATGAAACTTAATGGGAATGTATAGGTGGGATTTCAGTTCTGTAGAATTTTTTTCTCTCTTCTCAAATAGTAAAATTTCTCTCTGAAAAAAATGTTAAACCTATGTGGGGAGGGAAAAAGCATTTAAAGTATTATTAACCTCTTTTATTACCGCTTTCATTTGTGAACCAACCGTGTATAGACTGCTTTCTTTCATGAATGGCTGCAATCACTGAGGTATTTACTGCCTTTTTAAAATGACTGTAGAAATCAGTAGGCTCACTGCAATATCAATCACTTATTCTCAGTCACTTGAAGCCATTATGAGAGGCAGAACTGCTGGGGCCAGTTCTCCTTAGTGCTGGTGTTGCAGCAGGATCTCAGGAGCAAACCAGGGAACTGGGATTTTGGTTGACACTTTGGTCAGACCCTGCAGAAACTGGTGTTCAATGGCACTTGGAACTCACAAACAGATATTCTGATATTCTACTTTCAGATTAGGAAACAAAGGCAGTGAGAAGGTATCTTGCCAAGCTCAAGCAGGGTAACTGTGGGACAGCCAATACCTCTCCTCCTAAACCACCCTACCAAGCCTGAATCCTAAGGCAGCAAGGCAATAGTGCATCTTTCTCTCATCTTTGAATTCAATGGAGATTCTAACAGGTGAAGTGAGAGAAACTAGTGCTTTCTTTACAGATGCTGGTGTGTGCATCCATCTCAATGCACTCAACCCACCAGGCTTTTGAGGAACAAGGAACGCTTACTCTGAAACAAATGCAAGCCAACCACACGTGGATTTCCTTTCCAACAGTTTTTTTTTTCTCTTCAATAAAGTTACTGAGCTCTTTTGCTCTCAAACCCCGTAGTCACTCCTGTACCTTGCAATGCACGGTGTGACCCCTCACCAGAACCTGGAGAAGTGTCTGTAACTTTGCAGAGAGCAACTGCCTGTCAGAAAACTTAGAAAAGGGAGCCCTAAGCCTGCAAGACCCTTAGAAATCTGTTTGATAAGGGGTGGATGTAATTACAGATTCAGATGCTGTAGGTGCGCAGCCTTAGTCAGTGATGTCTGTGTTGCCATGGTGGGTACCTGTTCCCACCACCCATAGACCCCTTTCTTGCTGTTTTTTGTCTCTGGTGCCCATGTTGCAGCAGGCAGTGGATACCCCCTCCCTGAAGGATGCTGGGGTGTTGGCTGTAAGGGGCAATGGGCTGTGAGGCATCTATACACATGTATACAAAGGACAAATGTACAATGGGTGGTAATGATGGCACTTGCTCCTTCGATTTGGGAGCAGTCTGGTGCTCCTGGTCCCAGCTGCATGAGGCAGCAGGCAGGAGGCAGCCATGTGCCTCAGCTGCCCTGCACCGTGTGCAGATCATTAGCTCTTCTCTGTGAGGCAGCTGCCATGGGTTTTATAAACTGCTGGGGGTGGAAGGGCAGTATCCTGGCAGGCTCCAGGAGACCTGCCAAGCTCTCCTGTTATATTCTCATGGTGGGTGCTCTACAGAGCATGAAAAGCACTGGAGTCTTCCTTTTGCTTTTTCTTTTCTGATTCAGTTTCTATTCACTTTAAACAAGTAAAAATAGTCAGGCAGCTTCTTTACAAAAATAAAATAAAAAAAAGTTTCTCTTGATCATTATGATCCTTTGAATGTGTAAAGGTAAATAATTATTGTTGACTGTTAAGCATTCATCCACAAACCCGTTAATCCAACAACATTTTAAGAAAACTAACATGCTTGTCAAGAAGAGAATGGCAGGGTAAAACATCAGCGTAAAATGAGCAACAGAAGAAGTTTTGTTCTAAGAGCCATGTATTTTATTATGAATGAATCTGCTGCAGGTTTACAAAGGGAAACCAGTTGTTATGCTCATCATCTTTCAGAAAGCCTCTCTGTGAATAAAATGTGGTTGTGGTTGAATTCATTTCGCTTGCTTTGCTAATTCCATAGGTCAGACCATTGTGTACAGACCAAGGGAACCCCACACGCGGTGCCGCGCTGGGGCTGTGCCGGGAGCTCTGCCGGCAGGCGGCGTGGGCCAGCCCCAGTCATGGTGAGGGTCACATCCTGCCCTGCATTCTTTGCTGGGATGCAACAGAAAGCTTTGTTGCATTTGGAAATTTTGTGAAAGAAAGCATTGCTCTGGTTTTTTTCTGTTTTAACCTCTGGAGAAAGGAAGAGCCCTGCAGTAGGCTATTTGTGGGGTCAGCTGTGCTGGAAGGCACCCACAAATGCACCCCCAGATCTGTTTTCAGGTGGATTGGATGTGAAGGAGAAGTGAATCAGGAACTCTGGACCCCATGGATCTGTTGCTGCCCTAGTAGTGAGGGTGGCAGCCCACAGCACTTCAGTAGGGGCTGCCCTGGAGAGCGGCTGGGTTGGCACCAGCTCACAGGCATCAAACCAAGGAGGGGCTACTTTCAGAGGGCTATCTGATATTCCTGAGAGCAGCACCTCCCCATCCATCAGCAGGACTCAAGGACAGCCCTGGGAGGACAGGATCAACTGGTTCTCATCAAAATAAGTCACAAGAAAGGGTGAAATCTGAAGACCTGCCTAATCCCAAGCTCCAAGTGAAAGAGCACCAGGTCAGATAGCTGTGTGAGACTGGGAGATCAGAAGGTGAGTTAACAACAGTCAATTTTACTTCCAAAGAACCTCCGCATGTTCAAGTGAGCAGCAAAAATACAATTCTGGCAGTAAGAGAGCCATGCGGACATAAATATATGTCCCCTGTCTGCGGGACTGGCTGCTTGCTCTGAAGGTGTCCCTGCAGAAAGACTATTTTTGCTGTTATAAAGGAGTGGGTGAGGGACCGAGGAGAAGCAGTGGTGCCTGTCTTGACCCTGGAGGTGTTGCTGGTTTGATGATATCATTGACCAAAGGGATATTTTGCAACCCATTCCCAGCAGTGGTAGGACACAGACTAACTGAGGGCCGCAGACACTCCCTGGAGAAGTTGGGGGATGGATGCAGAGAAGCCTCTGAATGTCTGTGCTCAGCACATGTAATGAAGCAGACTGTGGAGCAAGGGGCACAGACAGCCTGCGTAGGCCTGTGACCCAGGCCACCTCCTTTGGGGGCAGCTTTTTCAGCCTTTGTGGCCAGTACAGACAAAATTACATTTGACAGAGATGCCAGACTGGACATCTGACTTACACAGAGCATCCTGAAATTCTGAAAAAACCATTCCGTCTTGCCTCTGCTCCTCATTAGCACCCTGGAAGGAGGTGGCTGCAGAAAATTTTCAATTAGATTAGAACGAAAATAATTATTTAGGCTGACCACATCCATGCAACAAAATAATACACATTCAAACTGAAGAATCATATTAGAATCACATTGACTGGATTTCACTCCCTCTTTAAGCCATCCATCTACAGCCTCAGGATCCACAAACAAATGTGATTTTCTAACCAAGGCATCAAAAACAACCCTGGGAAAAGGCAGAATCTTTTCTGCAAAGCATTTTCACACTAAGGCAGGTGAGCTGTTGACCTTATGGCATCTGACTGATTTTCACAAGCTACAGCAACCTCACCTGACACCGGGTGGCCTCCCCCAAGCGTGAAATTTCCTCCTGTGCTTTGAAGATCAAAGGAAAGCAAAGATAATTTCCAGTTTTGTCATGGAAACTAAAAACACTGCCCCAGGGACTATCTTGGACCTCCCTCCCCATTAGCACTTAGCATTTCTCAGGCTCTTCCCAGGCTGATCCCAGAGGCAGCAGGACATCCTTCTCCTATCACACCCAAGGTGGCAGGCTTCACCGGTGCAACTTTTCACAGCTCGGTCCAGATAATAAGCATCTTTTTTTATCTTTTCCAGCCCTCCGAGGAAGTGTCTTGCTGTTTATTCTACATGATCTCTCCTTGTCCTGGCCTGCTGTGCCTCCCCTTGCATCCCCAGCTCCCTCATGGAGAGAGGAAGAAGAGAAGGAAATGAGAAGAGAAACCAAGATGGGAACACTCGGTTCTGTCTGAAGCCTCTCAGCAGCCTCCCCTGCTGTCTGCAGATATTCTCCATTTGTCCCGACAACCTTTCCCCAGGATCCCACAAGCCACAGCATTGGGAAGGCTGTGCAGAAGCCTCTGCTTCCCCTGTCTTCCCCATGCACATGGCTGAAGTGTATCCCCACTGGATGTCACATACAAGTCCAGAAAAACTCCTCTCAGCTGGGTTTAGTAACCAGAACTGCCAGGAGCCACTTTGGCACTTAGCAGCGCAGGGAACAACATACCCTCCCCTTCTCCCTGCTGGTGGCCCCTGATCAATTCTCTTGAGCGTATCCGCCTGCATATGTCATGCTGACTGCCAGAAAACCAGCTGCTCTTCACAGCTGGATTTAGTAAACTGAACCATGTCAATGCTTTAGCACTCAGTAGCACACAGATTTCTTGCCACCCACCCAGGGCTCCCATCACCTACTTCCTGGCAGAGCGGCTGTGGTGGCTGTCTGAAAGTGCTCCCCAATTGGTTTTGTTTTTAACTAAGTAAAATATTATATCCTGGGGGAAAACAAACAAACAAACAAGCAAACAAAAAACCAAAAACCCCACAACAAATTCTCTCTTCTAATATGGAACATATGGTCTCAGAATCACAGTACGATAAATACATCACGGTAACAAGATTTTGTCCTTAGGATAGTCTTTGTCCGTGGGTCTAATGTGCATTGCAAACACATGAAAAAGGCTTTATGCCTTTCTCAGAATGAGATTGATATTATTATCCCTGATGCAAGACAGGATGCAGAGATGTACAGATAAGCCTGTGATAAAAATTTAGAGAGAAATTCAGGTTTGTTCTAGCACCAAAATGCTTCTTGCATGAGCAAAGCCACATCAACAAAGTTCAGCTTTTTACCAACAGAGCAGAAATATCCTCTGCAGGAGAAGTGAGCTGTGCTGCGGAAAACACAGTTTTGCTGCTGCAGTCCTTTTCTATATACTCAAGGGACCAGTCTGGTCAGCTCAGTTAGTCCAGGTCTCACTCATTTCCTTTATGCTTTTGACAAATATGGCTTTGCCAGCAGGAGTGTACAGAGCAGCTGCACTGCTTGCTCTGGAAAACCACACACACAGCCCACAATTGATCCCAGACTGCCTGACCCCCAGGGTCTCTGTTAGCCACAGTAATTACTTGGGGCAACGTGGGCATTGCTAGGGAGACCTCAGGCTGAAAGCATCTCTAGGACAGGAACATGCACAGTTCTGTTCCATCCCTGTTAGAAATCTGTTCATCCTGGCCAGGCACTCAGGGTCCAGCCGGATGGAAGTTAATGGTCATGCTGGAATTTGTGTCAATTGATTTTCCAGTTAACTTGACTTAACATGATTGGAGGCATTAGAGCAGAGAGGATATACCCGTTGTTCCAGTTTGAGTCCTGTAGACCTCATATGCCATTTCAATGCAGCAATAAGTTTAGTTCCAATTAGAACAAATTGTTCCTTAAAATAAAGATTCAATGGAAAGATTCATCCAGGGCCTGATCCGAAGCCCATTGTGTTCAGGAGCCCTCCTCCCTACCAAAGGCAGTAGGCTTTGGTTCGGGGCCTGAGGCAGCTCACAATGTATGGACAATTTAATAATGAGAGATGACTCACTAACAACAAAGGAATCTCAGAAATGGAGTATCTGTGTGACAGAAATAAACCACTATTCACCCACACACAGTCGTGTTCCCTCCCCCCCCCCCAAAAAAAAAAATAAAGAGAAAAGCCCACAAAAACTACATTGTCATTTCACTTGGGACGCTTAAACCTGGCCCAATTAAAACTTACTTAAGTGAGTAACTTTGCTAACATGATTAGCTCAGAAAACCAAATCTGGAAAAATTGTTATGCCAAAGGCATTTGAATTGAGGTCTTTATCAGTTTGCTTTTCATCTCTGGGCCTCTCACAGTCCCAGCAGATCAGAAACTTTTATGTGCTGCCTGTCCCAAAACTCTAGTTGTGACTGCAGTGAGTGTGGGCTGAGCTGGAGCAAGGATCCCTGTGTCATGTAGCTGTAGGACATATGCTATAGGTGTTTCTCACTTCTTGTGTACAGCATGTCTGATGGGTCCCATGGATCCCATGCATGCTTCTCTCCTAGAGATGCTTTCCACCCATGATCTTCCCAGCACAGATGTGGGATATGAGAACAATCCCTGCCAGAAATATGTGAGCCCTAGGGCAATGCTGCACCTAAAGGCCTTTAAGCTTCTTTCTCCTTTTCCATCTACCATGGTCACTCCTGGTCCTGAGTTACTGGCTTTATGGGTTTGTTTGGTGTTTGTACAGCACAACAGGTCCTGCTTGGATTCCCAGGAGCTACAAACAACAGCCAGTGACTTCCATGAGCTAGGTTAGTACTTGAAAGGGATATCTAGGGGCCATAAATCCTCTTCAATAGCTGGACAAAGCTGGAAGAAGTGCTGAACACTTCAACTATAACCACAGAAACCGTTTCTCTTGGTAATCCTTACATTCCCTGCAATTGTTCATAGGCGGGGCATATAGGGATGTATCATCACTGCTGACAGAAAACATGAACCAGTTTGATAAGCCTTACTTAGATGTCAGGCTACTTTGAATTTTAAAGCAGAAATAAACAGGTTGAAATGACCCGAAAGTTTCTAATGCAATGGTAAAATAAAGTAGGACTTAACAACTGAGGTGAAAGAACTCCATTTGATTTTCTTTGATGACTCAACCTGTTTCACAAGCTATTTTCATATTCCTTATTTAGCAAACTTACGTCTCGGTAAAAGCCTACTATGTGATAAAGCCAAGAAACCGTAATGTGTGGTACTGGTAACACCTCCCACGCCAAAAAAAATCCTACTTCCATATTTATGTGGCTCTGCAAATTGGTTCCTGCCTTTTTCTCCCCAGAGAGTGAGCTGGCAGTGTGTCTCCTCTCCAATTAACACGAAGCCATGAAAAGTGGAAACGGAGGGTCACATTCACCACACCTGAGGCCCCACGTATTTTTTTTTGCCATGTTACAGACCCATTTGGATCTTTGACTTCGCTGCAAGGCAAGTATTGTTTTTAGCATACAAATAACAAGGCCTGCAGAATACCTTCTTCATTCATGCTTTGTCTCCTGAAAAAAAGCTCACCACAGGGAGGCAAGAAGCTAAGGAGAACTACCTGCCTTGTGTTGCTCAGGGAGTGGGTATGGGCACCTCAGTACTGATTCCCCACGGATCAGGTGAATTTTACCTGGGTTTGACTGGTAAGGATGCAATTTCTGCCTTTTGGAAAGTTCTTTAATCAGGAAGCAGGAGTAGCTGGAGAAATCCTATGCTATGTAACCAGCACAGACTGCAAATCACACCAGCAAATTCATGGACTAAAAGAACACATAAGGACACTTAAGGACAACACCCACCCATCCTCACCCACCCCAGATTTCTTCACAATCTGATTTGTGACAAAGTAAAGACATGTATTTTTTGTGGCAGTTTTTGAAGAGTTTGTTTGTCTTGGAGGCAGAAAGGCAGAAAGTGCAAAGCAGAGGCAGAGGCTGAGCAATAGCACTCACACTTGCAACGACTGCTCCTTGAAAGCCTAAAAGGACCAGAAGCTACATGGCACAAGCCCTGTTTAGTCCCACTCCAGGCTCTGAAACAGCTCCCAGCTGACACCAAGCTGATCAGGACACAAGGGTGCCCCATCAGGAGTGTGAATGGAGAGAGATGCCATGTCTGAACCGGCACAGCTCTGAACCAGCACTTCCATGGGCAGCAGAACTTGCAAAATCCCCTTTCCTTCGACATTTCCTCTCATCTTCTTTGGATTCAGTATTGTAATGGATAAGGATAAGCTCTAATCAAAGTTTTGCCTCAGGATACAGCACATTCCTGGCATCTTTCCCTCATTTGCCTCTTCTGAAGTCTGAAAGCATCCTGCTATAGCCTTCCCCTTGCTGTTATAGCTACGTAGGTCTCTACTTTCCATCAGAATTTTGTTTTTGAGATTTTTATTCCTCTGCCAAGCTCTGACAGATGGACACAGGCACGTTGAACCAGCTAGTTCAGCCCCCATCACTGTCAGCCTCCATCCTTCAGCTCTGACATTCACCACACACTTGTCTGATCTGAACTTCCATCCTTAGGAATAAATCACCAAAACTCAAGCCCTTCAGGGCTACAAAAACCCTCTAAATCTTCCATCCTACCCAATCTGTGGAATTTTCTCAGCACATAAGCCACAAAACACTGTTGGAGCTGTTCCTCTCCCTAAGGATGGAGGTACCTATAGTCTGGAAGCAGAGAACCAGGGTTCCTGCCCTGGCCATGTGTGTTCAAACTCACACATCCCATTTCCCAGGTAGGTGCCATCCACATTTGACATACTCACCTTCACATATTGGTGCTTGGATCCTCAGCTTCTTCCTTCCTGTGGGACCAGCGTGGCCAGGGAGGGAGGAGAGCACGTACTCTGACCCCGGAGCCCTGCAGTCAGATGGCTGTGATGTCCCTTGGAGAGGTGTGATATGCCAAACTGGCCAAGGGACTGAGCTGGGGGCAAAGGTCTCATATTAGCACTGAAGCAGCAGAGCAAGCACCAGCACAAGCATGTGAGTGCATCCCTCTGGGAGGCAGCATTTACATCCACTCTGACTTGGATGATGATTCTTCCTTCTGCAGGGAGGAGAGGTAGGCTGAGACTAGCCAAAAAGAGGGGAACCCTGCCCTGTGCAGGAGAATAAACCTCAGGCTCCTCTGCCCAGACATGACAACAACCCTTTTTCAGGCCCCCACAGGGCTCTGGCCCTCTGTCCTTCCTGAATCCCAGCCTGGCACCTCCCTCTGCTAACACTATCCACCAACACACTGTGCTTATAGCTCAGGATGAGCTTCTCTCCAAACTCAAAGCCTTCTCTCTCTGCTAAATACC